GTTTAAAAAAAAAAAAAGAGATAAGCTAATGACTATAACAATATATTCCTCCATGTGAGAGGAAGTTTATAAAGAAACAATAAAATTGAGCTGCAAAGACAGTTTCTGTTTTGGCCGTGCCACGAGCTGAGCCACCCTGCTTGGGAACCATCCTGTGCCTGGTTTGGGTCACCCACCCCCAGAACGCAGCACCCAGAAGCCCTGTTCTGGGACTTCCTTCCCACCCTGTGGGTGCCTCAGGGAGGGAGTGGCCAGAGGGGGCAGGTGCTGAGGGAGCAGAGATGGAAGATTCTAGATGACGCAGGACCTGGTCCTACCACCACCTGCTGTGACCCTGATAAGAGCCTTAGTTCTGGGAAGACACAACTCGTCCATTGAGAGTCTGGCAAAGGCTTCTCTCTCTCCCTGTACCGGAGCATTCCACCCAGATTCCAGAGATGCTAGAGTCAAACCCAGCTCAGGGAGAGGTTGCCTGTGACTGAGCCGTGGGCCTGGGGCTCTGGACCCGGTGGGAAGGGCAAGGGCAGGGATGCTCATCGCAGGAGGGGCCTGGCACTGGAGCTGTGAGGGCAGGAGTGGCCCTGTCCAGCAGGCAGGGCAGGGCTGGGCTGGCTTCTTGCCAACCTCACCCACCCCAGCCCTGTGGGGTGTCAAAGTCATGTTAACAGGGATGCGGTACTACTGGCTTCCCCCCTCCCTGCTGGCAGGAAGAGCAGTCTGCCTTCTGGAATGTGGATGTGTGCACTGAGAAATGCGGAAAAGACATTTATTACCGAGCTATAAATTAGAGGTGGTGGGCAGGGTGCAGGAGGGGCTAAGTGGTCACGTTTTGGGCATCCGCTCCTTCTCTCTGTCCTCCTGGGCCTGGATTCTGAGCTCCTCCTGCAGGCGCTCCCTGGCTCGGACCACCTGGAAGGGAGTTAGAATCAGGCAGGGCAGTGAGTGGGATGGGCCTCTGCCCTTCGCAGTCCTTCCAGCTTCGAGTCCCTGCAGAGCCCTGGGCATGTCTGAGCCAACAGCCTGGGAAACACAAGTGCCTCCTTTACGGGTGCCCAGCATTCCCAGGGGGACAGGGCCCGGGCACACCCTGCTCTTCACCAGCCAGTGGTCCTGTTCTCTCACAGCCATGGCTGCTGGGAGGGCCACTGTCAGAGTGACACAGGGCCCAGACATTTCAGCCCAACTGGCTGGGCCCCAGGGAGCTGAGGCAGCCAGAGGGAGTGGCAGCCTAGGGGGGGCCTCCCTGAGGCTGGGACACCAGGGACTGCCCGGCACACCTGCCTGCCTGCCAAGCTCTGAAGGGCCTGGGAATGAGGGACCCCCCCCCCCAGTGAGAAGGGCCCTGGACTTGTCCCCTCCCAGCATCAAAGAGCACTCACCTTGGACTGCAGGTAGAAGGAGCCACCCACGGATTTGTCGTTCACCTTGAATAGGTGTTCGTAGTTCTGCAGGGGAGGGGAGACGGTGAGAGGGTGTGCAGGCTCTGGGTTACAGAGGCAGGGGGAGCTAGGAAATGACAAAGAAGGAAAGCCAAAGGGTTCAACCCTGCCGCCCCACATGCCCATGTGACTGCTGGGGGACAGAGAGGTGGACAGGTGCCCACAGAGGGAAGGGGCTTGTCTACCACCAACAACTGCTCTGTCCCTGCCACTGCCTGCTTTGGGCCTAAAAACAAATGAGTGACAGCGGCTGCCGTAACTCAGGGGTCCAAGCACCTGCTCCTTTCTACCAGGCCACATTCACTCTGGAAGACCCTTGTAGCCTGACTCCTCCCGCCCGATCCCCCCCTTTCTGGTCTTCTGAGGCAAGACCTGTCTCAGAGCCAGCCTAGTGGCCTCACCTTCTGGATCTCCTCGGGGCTCAGCTTGGAGACATTGAGAATCTGCTGTGCCTCCTGGAGGCTGAGGCCGGACAGGTTGGAGGCAGCTGCAGACTGGTGTCCAGCACGTCCCCGAGCGTCAGCTGCTGCCCGGCTGCAAACTCCTGCCGCAGGGCTCGGGCAAAGGCCCTGCCCACCACCTGCACCCCCATCACAATGATCTGGGCCAGGTATT